ACCATTTTTCCATAGACCAGCGCTGGAAGCATACCACTCGGCCCTCGCATTTGTACAGCATCCCCATTTTCCCAACCAATGCGTAACTCGGGAAGAATACCTCGAAAGTGGAAGTAACGCATGTCGCAGGAAGTTCAAGGATTGGCAAGATGTCGCCGGCGGCGGCTCCGGAGGCGGTTCGGGGCCTGGGATTAGAACGAGCGCAAGTTCGAACGCAGTCAGAGAGACTGGGAAGACGAAGGGAAAGGGGCGCCCTAGGGACGAAGACTCTGATGACGGGGAAGACTCTCCGCCTTCCGTACCTGCAAAGACGATTAGGACGAGGACGAGGACAGTTTCTGCGGTAAAACGGAGATAGCGAGTGTTGGTGGTGCAAGATGTCAGTATTCTCCAGGATCGAGTACGTTGACCGGTGGCGCTTTTTCCACGATTAAGCTTAGAATTTGTTTTTGATTCCGGGGGTACTTTGTGCATCGAAGTGTGAGGTCCTTCCCGTCAAGGTTAGGGAAAAGAGTGGCGGAGTGGCGTACTTCGTAGATCAAAGGAATGCTATGTATCCCCAAGGGAGGTACTGTAGTTTTTCGACCATATGTTCGTCACGCATCACGCAGGGTGCGCCGGCGAACATATTTGACCCAATGGTCACGCAGATGCGCGGGCCCACGAACAGTAAATCGTGACCAATTTGCACCGAAATTGCCCGAAAATCAATTTTTGGGTCGTACTGCGAACTAGGGTGGCGGACCGAACCTAGGTTTGGTACCCAAAACGTTTTGTACCGGGTTAGTTACCGGTTTGGAACCAGTAACTTACTGACCCCTCTGAGGAGGGTAGGTTAGGTACCCAAAGGTCACGTGTTGCCACAAGGTCACCACCTCACCAAGGCTTGTCAAATAAATTTCTGTCAAAGTAATTTGTGGGCCCAGGAAGATAGCACAACGTATATTGTGTTCTACCGCAGTTTGAAGCGAATTCACCTTTTTAGGAGGATTGGTGGTAGATATTTCGGACATTGCCGAGCTCTGCGGGCACTTGGTCAGAATATCATGACAATATTTATCAAATGCTAGCCATGCAGGTATTGTCCATGTTGTGCGGGTAGTTTTAGTAATTCCAAGCATTTACAGTTCCGTCTTACAACAAAAATGAGCACAACACAAAGGGTAGGC